ATACTTTCCATTTTGTGTCAGAAACAATGCATGTGAATTCAGAATACATAGGTCCATACAGTGGAAAAACAATTTTTTATACCACTTTATATTCTTCCTCATGGAATCTATGCTGGTGACTAACATCTGACCGGTCGACTGCTTCCATCTTTTTATTGTAATCTAGTATACACAATGGTTTTCGTATATTTTCTCCTGTTTTTCGGTCCAATTTTGGTAGGGTAATCATCTTGTTCTCATGAATCGTAGAAAGCATAGTCACATCCTGACGGTCTTTCTTCCATTTCAGTGCGAATAGCTTCTCAGAACTTTTCCAAGATATCTCTCCTTTATTTAGTTTTCCTTTTGGATCTGGCATACCTCTTCGTGTCTGGCGAACTGTTCTACAGGTGTTGGTTTTTCTATCAAGCAGAAAAAGAGACAATGCAGGGCTTGTATAAAAATTATCCGTATAAAGGGAATGGCCCTTATCCAGGTATGGCGTCATTAATTTAACGACAACTTCACCTGTGATTCCCAGAAGGGTTTTTTTATTACTATCAGCATCTGTTTCCTTCCCAACGTATACATTAAAATCCAGAATATAGCCTGTCTCGCAATCGCATAAGACATATAACTTAATTCCAAAACGGTGTCTCTTTGTTTTAATATATTGCTTGAACACGAGACGTCCCTTGAAAAGGACCAGACTCTCATCAATAACTAAACACTCAAAAGGATAAAATGCACTTTTGAATCGTTCTTTAATTTTTTCTAGAAGAACTCCTATTTTGAAAAGTCGATCATGATTTGGAGGATCTGCATTGTTGCAAAAATGCGAATATCTATATATGGACATGAATCTATCTCTCGACATGTACTCGCCAAAAATGGGGGAATTTAACAAGGGATCAGTGGACCAATATTCATTTACAGATAATTTTTTATTTCTTGGCATAACTAAATTCAATGCTAGAAACACGTAAAATTCTGACATGTCAAGATCCTTCCAGTCCTGTGAATTTTCCGCTGCATAACGACTAGTTTCACGCACAATCAAGTTGGCAATATCATCTGTGAAAACATTCAAAAAGTAATCTATTTCAGTTGAATTTTGACCAAGATTCATATCAGGATTTATTCCAGTTCGGTCATTTATAAATGCATGTTTCTGGGGCTTAAATTCGTTATTTGTCCAGTCTATTTGTATCCCTTCTGATGGCTGCATTTCCCCAACTCCGATGTCTTCCTTTACATTCCCTTCCTCTACATTTAATTGCTCTGTATCGCTTTCGTCCCCCAACACTTCATTGTCGCTTTCAAACGCCTCACTTTCACTTGTTGTACCGGGCTCATATTCACTCCCGCTAGCACTGAACGGTTCTTCGTCACTACTGACACAAAATTCTTCGAAATCATTTACATTTTTCATTATTTCTCTAGCCTCTCTAGGTTCTAAACCACAGAAATGTTGTAATTTTGCAGTATCGTGCTTTGCTCTTTTAGGCCGCGACGGACCGGCACCTTCATCGTACGACATTCTGAGCAGCACTGAACTAAAAACACGTGCAGAGTGCAGGTGCGTAGTTCCCAATAATTCGATCGACGACTGTCGTGTATTTCCGTCGGGACCGTATATCTCCGACAATCGTCTCTTAGCCAAGCTAGCCGGCACGGAGTAACTCGACGGCAGTCCCACAGACACGGGAAATTTCAAATGGTGTGTGTCGGACTTAAACGACAACCGTTCGTAGAATTATATTTTAGTAAGACGTATATATCCGACACCCGTCTGGAGGCCAAAAAATAAAGAACCGGATAAATCCGTCGCTCGTCTCGAAAGGGTTAAACCCTTTCCCCCAGTTGTTGTTGTTGGTGCAATAATATTTTTATATTTTTTCAGCTTACTTCCGTCAATTTGAGCATTGGGTTTATAATGTCTTTTGTGAGCGTTCGTTTTGTATACAATTTGTTTATAATTTTCCCTGTCTTGTTCGTTAAATAAACTATTGTTAGGATACTTTTTAAATAACAATTCGTATAAACCTTGAGTACCTCTGTACCGTTTACCTTGAACATAAATATCTGATCCTTGAATATCTACTTGTGAGTTACCAATAAAAATTTTTTCAGTACTTTTATCCATTCCAACGCCATACTTGTGATCAAACTCTCTATTTTCGGTATCTTCGTACATTTCTCGAATATATTTCCGTGGTAATGGATCGTATTGATCCAAATATTCAATAAAAGACACTGGTCCGATATCTTCAAATCGACTAGTAGATTCCTTGTCTACGTTTACTACGTTGTCTTCATAATCTGAATCAATTTCATCTATAATTGATTGTTTCATTTCACTCGGTGAATCGTAATTACTAATAGGAGTCGAATTAAATGATAACTGTCTAGGCAATATTTTTCGTTTCTTTTGAATTACTGATAGTGGTAAAGTTTGTTCTTCTGCTGTGGCGGCGGCCGCTGCTGCTGCGGCGGCGGCGGCGGGCTCCTCCACTTTTACGGGAGGATGATACTTTGGAGTAGTTCGTGTTACATCACTTACCAGAGTCGTCTTCGTCGTCGTGGTTGCTGGCGTTGTTGTTCTTGTTGAATTTTGCAAAGAAGACTCGATATTTTTCAATCGTTTTGTAATAGGCTTAAACATTGTCTCTTGCATCATTTCACCACGTTTTAATTCTTCAAGTTTTTTTCTTATATCCTTACGTTTAGAAATTAATCGTTTTAAGTTAGTAGTAGTGCGGCGGGTCAGGAGCATGGCGTTGTATAGGATCGCCACACTCCTGACATCCAGCCTCCTCAGGTCGGCCCCCGACATGCCGTCCGGACCGGCGGCACAGGACGCCCTTGGGCATCTAATGGCAGCCTCCACGGATCGCAGGAGGACAGGCGAATACAGACCCTGAGTCGGTCTTTTATAATCCGAGATCATCTGCCCATCTTCCGGAGCGGCCCCCGCGAAGACTGCCTCGTAGTGAGCGCGGATCTCCTCCTCCGGAGGGACAACGCCCACTGCGCCGGGGTCCACGCCGCGAACGATAAGGTCCGCGAGCGCAGACCTGTCCTTACCATACAATTCCTGATATCTTTTAAATCTATGAGCGCGCCGCGCGCCCGGGCGCATAGGTGCCGCAGCCGCGATGTGCCTATCCCGAGCGGGAACTGGGCGGCCATCGACGGGCGTCCAAAGGGCCCGGTATAATTCCTCCACCGCACCAACAGCGCCACCGACGCCACCGATGATCCGGCCCACAATCCCCCTTACAATTGCCTTTAACATAGATATAGTTATTTTGTACAACGTTTCTAATAAAACTAACTATACTTTCTTGAGGTAGACAGGTCTCATCTTCTTTTTCATCCCAGGATAGTCCGTGGACACGATTCGTGGTCTTCAAAAGATGATTTCTAATTTCACCTGTGAACCAGTTATACGGACAAGGTGTTTTCACCATTCTATGAAACACTTCTCCGCTGGGCACGTTTATAATTGCGATTTCTCTAACGCTATAATCGCTCTGTTTATACTGAAATCCTTGAACGTCGAGGATAAACATTTTTTAAATGTTATACCAGCACTACTAATTTGCAACTGAATCTTCCTCACACCTACGCAACATTATTTATATCTATCCAACTATTGTGTTTGTTATCAAACCCCAACCACTTTACAAACACTTTATCGCGTTTCCTTTTGAGAATTTTTTCAACCAGGTAAACGTGTGGAAACTTCACTTTTTGCAATTGTCCGTTGTAAAATCCACCGAGAATATTTTGATTATTTTCATCTTTTAATAAATACGTAGTGGGATTGGTTAGTTGAACTTTATCTACCGTAAAAATTTCCGTTGACCAATTTGGTTGGTATTTTTTATCGAAAACACCTCGCCTCTTCGATATTCGTACGCGATCGCCAATCTTAAATTTGGTATTAAGATTTGTCATTTTTATTCGATTAAACTTCCATTAGCTTTTTTTCGTGCTTTTTTATAACATCGGCCGGTTTCATTTTAATTACGCTGTGATGTGTATTATTGTAGTTTCTAACAATTTCCGATAATATGTCGATCCATTTATAGTTTCCTCGTAGACTAAACTCTTTCCACATTATATTTTTTTCACGGTTCACTCTTTCCACTATAGCGGCCTTTTTCTCGCTAAATACATTATAATGATTGATATGATATTTTTTCATTAAATTTTGAAAGTCTTTGTTAAAAAATTCAGCCCCAGCGTCAGTTTGTAAATTTTTTGGTTTTTTGGTGGACTTTAAAATTGTTTCCATAGCTCTCGTCACTTCCGCTCCCGACTTATTTTTTACAGGTAGCACCCAAACCAATTTAGAATAACAATTTATTACAATTAGTATGTATTTGTATCCACGATTCTGTTTTGCGTACGGAATTATTTCGATAAGGTAGCTTGAAACAGATCATATAAAGATTTATTTATAGTTTTTCTACTTTTAAAGTTTATACGAGCAGGTTTATGAAGTTCCTCGACAACTTGTCGCTTGTTATCCGTAATAAATTTCGACGGCTTCATTCTATAATATCGGCTTCGCGCAATTCTTCAATTAGCGAATTTATCTCATTTAAGTGACCCGTATGACCTGCAGACTGTGACGACACGAGTAGACGCAATCGATCGACTAATTCATTTGGATCGTCCCAATGAATGTAATCTTTTTTATTGGGTGTCACTTCCATTGTTGTCATTAACCCTTTCGAGACGGCACTTTAATCATTTCCCCAGACGGGCGTTTCGATATTGACCTAGAGACGAGCGTCGGATAACTCCGACAGTGAGAAAAAACATGAATATAAGGTTTATATTAAATTTAAAGGTTTAAAAAATGTTTTGACTAGGAAAAATAAATTCTTATATACGATTTATTGATAATACGTAACAATAGATTATTTCTACATGACAAAAAAGCCACTGTAACTTAATCTAGTCAAAAACAAAGCAACTTAACTTGAATTATTAATAATACATACAAATTAAAATTTTTTAATGGTGTGGTATGTCTCAAAGCAAGGAACGATGCATAAACCCACATTACATTCATTACATATATATCGAGACTCTTTCCTCTTTTTCTCTCCACGTTGTGTCCGCACAAACAACGCAGCGCCTCATAGGTCTTTTTGATTTCTCTGTAGCAGGAACTAAGGACGGAAAGTGGCGCTCTATTAGCCTTTTCTTGGCAGAAGGAACAACTTGTGGCTCTCTACGCTCAAGGACATCTAGAACAATAGTAATAGTATTTGCATAACTAGTATATAGTAAAAGATTAAAAATTATTTATTATCAATAATCAAGCTTGATTTTTGAATAGATGAACCTACCTTTCTAACAACTGACGAATAACCTTCAAGTGGAATACTGCTAAGGGAATATACTTTCCATTTTGTGTCAGAAACAATGCATGTGAATTCAGAATACATAGGTCCATACAGTGGAAAAACAATTTTTTATACCACTTTATATTCTTCCTCATGGAATCTATGCTGGTGACTAACATCTGACCGGTCGACTGCTTCCATCTTTTTATTGTAATCTAGTATACACAATGGTTTTCGTATATTTTCTCCTGTTTTTCGGTCCAATTTTGGTAGGGTAATCATCTTGTTCTCATGAATCGTAGAAAGCATAGTCACATCCTGACGGTCTTTCTTCCATTTCAGTGCGAATAGCTTCTCAGAACTTTTCCAAGATATCTCTCCTTTATTTAGTTTTCCTTTTGGATCTGGCATACCTCTTCGTGTCTGGCGAACTGTTCTACAGGTGTTGGTTTTTCTATCAAGCAGAAAAAGAGACAATGCAGGGCTTGTATAAAAATTATCCGTATAAAGGGAATGGCCCTTATCCAGGTATGGCGTCATTAATTTAACGACAACTTCACCTGTGATTCCCAGAAGGGTTTTTTTATTACTATCAGCATCTGTTTCCTTCCCAACGTATACATTAAAATCCAGAATATAGCCTGTCTCGCAATCGCATAAGACATATAACTTAATTCCAAAACGGTGTCTCTTTGTTTTAATATATTGCTTGAACACGAGACGTCCCTTGAAAAGGACCAGACTCTCATCAATAACTAAACACTCAAAAGGATAAAATGCACTTTTGAATCGTTCTTTAATTTTTTCTAGAAGAACTCCTATTTTGAAAAGTCGATCATGATTTGGAGGATCTGCATTGTTGCAAAAATGCGAATATCTATATATGGATATGAATCTATCTCTCGACATGTACTCGCCAAAAATGGGGGAATTTAACAAGGGATCAGTGGACCAATATTCATTTACAGATAATTTTTTATTTCTTGGCATAACTAAATTCAATGCTAGAAACACGTAAAATTCTGACATGTCAAGATCCTTCCAGTCCTGTGAATTTTCCGCTGCATAACGACTAGTTTCACGCACAATCAAGTTGGCAATATCATCTGTGAAAACATTCAAAAAGTAATCTATTTCAGTTGAATTTTGACCAAGATTCATATCAGGATTTATTCCAGTTCGGTCATTTATAAATGCATGTTTCTGGGGCTTAAATTCGTTATTTGTCCAGTCTATTTGTATCCCTTCTGATGGCTGCATTTCCCCAACTCCGATGTCTTCCTTTACATTCCCTTCCTCTACATTTAATTGCTCTGTATCGCTTTCGTCCCCCAACACTTCATTGTCGCTTTCAAACGCCTCACTTTCACTTGTTGTACCGGGCTCATATTCACTCCCGCTAGCACTGAACGGTTCTTCGTCACTACTGACACAAAATTCTTCGAAATCATTTACATTTTTCATTATTTCTCTAGCCTCTCTAGGTTCTAAACCACAGAAATGTTGTAATTTTGCAGTATCGTGCTTTGCTCTTTTAGGCCGCGACGGACCGGCACCTTCATCGTACGACATTCTGAGCAGCACTGAACTAAAAACACGTGCAGAGTGCAGGTGCGTAGTTCCCAATAATTCGATCGACGACTGTCGTGTATTTCCGTCGGGACCGTATATCTCCGACAATCGTCTCTTAGCCAAGCTAGCCGGCACGGAGTAACTCGACGGCAGTCCCACAGACACGGGAAATTTCAAATGGTGTGTGTCGGACTTAAACGACAACCGTTCGTAGAATTATATTTTAGTAAGACGTATATATCCGACACCCGTCTGGAGGCCAAAAAATAAAGAACCGGATAAATCCGTCGCTCGTCTCGAAAGGGTTAAACCCTTTCCCCCAGTTGTTGTTGTTGGTGCAATAATATTTTTATATTTTTTCAGCTTACTTCCGTCAATTTGAGCATTGGGTTTATAATGTCTTTTGTGAGCGTTCGTTTTGTATACAATTTGTTTATAATTTTCCCTGTCTTGTTCGTTAAATAAACTATTGTTAGGATACTTTTTAAATAACAATTCGTATAAACCTTGAGTACCTCTGTACCGTTTACCTTGAACATAAATATCTGATCCTTGAATATCTACTTGTGAGTTACCAATAAAAATTTTTTCAGTACTTTTATCCATTCCAACGCCATACTTGTGATCAAACTCTCTATTTTCGGTATCTTCGTACATTTCTCGAATATATTTCCGTGGTAATGGATCGTATTGATCCAAATATTCAATAAAAGACACTGGTCCGATATCTTCAAATCGACTAGTAGATTCCTTGTCTACGTTTACTACGTTGTCTTCATAATCTGAATCAATTTCATCTATAATTGATTGTTTCATTTCACTCGGTGAATCGTAATTACTAATAGGAGTCGAATTAAATGATAACTGTCTAGGCAATATTTTTCGTTTCTTTTGAATTACTGATAGTGGTAAAGTTTGTTCTTCTGCTGTGGCGGCGGCCGCTGCTGCTGCGGCGGCGGCGGCGGGCTCCTCCACTTTTACGGGAGGATGATACTTTGGAGTAGTTCGTGTTACATCACTTACCAGAGTCGTCTTCGTCGTCGTGGTTGCTGGCGTTGTTGTTCTTGTTGAATTTTGCAAAGAAGACTCGATATTTTTCAATCGTTTTGTAATAGGCTTAAACATTGTCTCTTGCATCATTTCACCACGTTTTAATTCTTCAAGTTTTTTTCTTATATCCTTACGTTTAGAAATTAATCGTTTTTTCAAAACTTTATCATTTTGTTGACTGATCATAGCGCTCGATATCACCGTCTATAGCAAGTTATGTTCTGAATGTAGAACCACTAGTGAATAACCTTTATAGGAACAGCTCTCTCTGATCAGGCGTAAACAACTTTTGATCGGGGACCTAAACAGCTCCTGAACAGGTCTAAAACAGCTCTTGATCAGGTCTAAACAGCTTCTGAACAGGTCTGAACAGCTCCTGAACAGGTCGAAACAGCTTCCGCTGCCGCCGCCGCCGCGATAGGACGATTAGAAATGTATGAAGCAATCAAATGTTTTCCTATATCGACCTCCTTGGTTAGTTAGGAAACTAAACGCTTCGTTCCAGCATAAAGCACACATTTCTTTAAAACGTTCAAAAGTCATATCGGTACCGATATGATCGTTGTATATGTGTTTCAAATTTAAATCGTTTTGTTTGAAAATTACGAGACAATTAGCATTGTCTCTTATAAGATGTTTAGGTATTTTAGCATACGTTTGACATAAATAAAACGAATCAATTTTATTATGTCGTCCCATAGTAAAGTATTCGCGTATGACATCTTGGTTGTCGCACGCTACATCGTCGAAAATGAAAATACTGTTCGGTTTAGCCTCCGACGGATGCATAATGCTTTCACCGGCGTTAAATGTAAAATATCGAATACCTTTTATTGATTTCAGCAGTTGATCCAGGTAAATATATTTTGGTTAGTTCAAAGATCGCGAATAAATGTATACGTTTTCAAATTTTACACCGTTCTCCTGTTCGATTACGTTAGTTTTACCGCATTTCGAAGGACCCACGATAATACATCTTATTGTTGCGGGAAACAATTTACCATGCCTCTTGTAAGATTTTTCGTGAAACATATTATTTTCAATATCTAATGTAGTACTTTGTTTAATAAGTTTCATAATGTGATTGTTTTCTAAAACACCATACTATTCATAATGATATAAAATAGATGACTTACAAACTTTTTATATTAGTTTGTACTAACAAAACGAACACACACGATCGTCAGCATGAAATGTTACGCATCAGGTAACGGTTTATTAAATACGGTAATCAACAAATTGCCTTTTGAAATGCATATTCCGGGGTATAATTGGTGCGGCCCCGGTACAAAAGTTGAAAAACGTCTCGCTAAAAACGATTCCGGCATAAACGGTTTGGACAATGCATGCAAACAACACGATATCGCCTATTCAACGGAAAGTGACTTAAACAAACGTCACGAGGCAGATAAGGTATTAGCTTCCAAGGCTTTAACTAGATTTAAAGCTAAAAATTCCGGGTGGAAGGAGAAAATTGCCGCTTTAGGAGTAAGTAGGTGGCAATGAAAACAAAATTAAAACTCGGAATGGGCATTCCAAATACATACCGCGGCGGTGGTGGTTACTATTACCGTTCCAGGAGATTAATTCAAACTTGTTTAAAAAAACTACAAAAAACTAAAAAAAGTTTATACGAAATTGAGGATTCTTTAGCCAAGATGATAAATCAGAGAGAGAAAAAGAATATTTGCAGCCAAAAGAAGAAAAAGAAGACACAGCAGCCAAAAGAAAACAGCAAATCGAAACAACAGACATATGAAGATAAGAAAGATTTTGATATCGCAGACGATTATCCATTAGATAGAGTTCGACCTAAAAGCATTCTAAATGATGATGAAGATAATGAAATTTCAAAATAGAAACCTCGTATCGTATTAGTTCATAATCGGAAAAGAAAAGCTGCCACGATTGATAGAAATGAAATAAAAAGGACAAAAAGATTAAACGAAGAAGATAATGAGAAAAACATATAAATGGATGATTCTATCAAAAATATCGAATATTGATAATAGAAAATGAAAATTAAGTCTCGACAATGACGACGACGACGACAGTTGCGTATACACACCACCTAAAAACTTCAAATTATAAATAGTGAATAAAGATGGAAAAGATGGAAAACACTTTCAGTACTAATTAGAAGTTGTAATCGGTACAATGGTCAGAAGAAAGAACACTAATCCAAGAAAACGTAAAACAAGTGCGATACAACGACGACGGCGACGAGAGAAAAAAATTGGCTTTACAAATGCTACTAAACAAATTAAAAAACACGTTATTAAACAAAAACCTAGTACTTATGGTGATGCAATTCGTGTCGCATTAAAGGCGGCTCAGAGTTTAAAAAATAAAATCAAACCTAATCGTATCGTACCGATACCATAAACGGGTGGTGTTTTACCGCTCATTCCGATATTTGCTGGACTTTCGGCGCTCGGTGCTCTTTCCGGTGGAGCTGCGGGTATCGCGAAAGCTGTAAACGATGCGAAATCGGCAACGAAACAATTGCAAGAATCGCAACGTCACAACAAAACCATGGAAGCGATCGCAATGGGTAAAGGCATATACTTAAAACCGTATAAAACAGGAATGGGACTTTTTCTTAAGCCATATAACCGTTAACAAATAAATAGTAAACTTAGTACCGGCGTCGCAATTGCAGTACAAATTAATAAAATGAATAAGAAGCAAATACCTAACGATTATCCGTTAACGAATACTCAGTTGGAAAAGTATGCTAAAAAGTTGTTGAAAATACCTTGGTTTAGGGGTGTTTTTATGAGAGATAATCTGCCCAGAAAAATAAGAAAAAATGAACGAAGTATAATCAACTTGGACAGTAGAAGCGGAACCGGAACCCACTGGACATGTTACAAAAAACAGGGACCTAATATCATGTATTTTGACAGTTATGGAAATCTACCTCCGCCACTGGAAGCATTGACATATTTCAATTCGAATGGACCGTGCAATATACGATACAATTACGATGTTTATCAAAAA